TTTTAGTTTTTAAAAATTTTTTTTTTTTTTTTTTTTTTTTTTTTTTTTTTTTTTTTTATGTAGGCGAGGCCGAACTCAATTTAAGCAACAGAAGTCTGACAGTAGGGACTGTTTTGAATACAGCTTGATCAGTGTTCCTCTTCCTTTTGTCTTTGTGTACTGCTTTTATGTAATTTTGATATTTCATTACTTTAAAAGATGTTTTACCCAGGTCTTTGGAAGGAGCCCTAGATCTAAGTAACATTCCAGTTCTGTGGCATCAGGAGTGTTGTGATCTAGCTGGGGTAGCCCCAGGGCAGCTGGCTGAGACTCTGTGAGCCCCAGACACCTCAAAAAGGAGACAGCTCTGTCCAAGCTTCTTCCCACCCTCCTCAGAGCTGCAAGGAAAACCCCGCTTTCACAGTTCTGCAGTTGTCTGCTCATCTTCTCCTATCCCCGTGCTTACTGTAAACCAGTGTGATGGTGCTGAGGGCAGGACTGGACTTCAAGGAGAGAAGGAAGTGTGGGCAGGGTCTTCATCCACACATGGCTTCTTAGGATTGTTTGCCTTTGAGCTGGGCCTGGATAGCCTTGCTGTCAGCAGACTGAATCATGCAAGTCCAAAGGTTCTAGTGGTAAGATTCTGGTCAGCTTTGTGTTGAATTCCAGAGATTTCAAGGATGACAAATCTTAATACAATTCTAAGTGGTACAGGTAACAGAGAAAGCCTGGGATGCCGCTTAATACGTAGACTGTTTTTCTGAGGGCTGCCGTGTCTAATCTGTGTTGGCATGAAAAGATGGCAAACAATAAGAAAACATTTGTTATTCTTTCTTAATTTGTTTGTTGCTTTTGTCTCTGCAAGAGCCCTCCATAATGAATGGTACCACAGCATGGTCCATGCTTTCTCAGGCTTTGCAGTTTTTCTCTTGTTCTTTTTTCCTTCTCTGCAGCCTTAGGGCTTCATTAGTTAGCACTCCAGTTATTCACTTATGGATTAGTAATGAGTTGTGGAGCCACAAGTTCTGCTCTCCGCTGCACATCATTGAGTGGCTTCATTAAAGCACTAAGTCATGTCAGGATGAAAATATCTGTGAGTGTTGCCTGTTTGTAGACTGTCCTTCGAAACTCTTTCTGAGCAGCCCACTGTGCAAAGGTCTTGACAGTAGAAGTGAAAACAAACTCCAGTGTTATGTAGAGTCTGAAGGAACACAGCTCAGGGCATTTGATAAGGCCATTCTTGCCTCATCATAGCACAACAGGTAATGTCACAGTGCCAAAGAGAACAGGAAAGGACTGAACTCACTCTTTTGTCCTAAACTCAGTCTACCATTACAGTCCATCCTTCAGTAACAACATTGCTTCATTAAATAGGGACCCCTCAGGACCTAACTGCTTCCTAAAGGACCCCCAATACTTTTGCGCTGGGGATTCATTTTCCAACACACAAACTATGGGGGACTCGTTCAAGCCAGAGAGAAACTGCACAGTCACTGAGCTTGCAATGAGTTCCCACAGTGCCCTAGTGTCGTCTGAGATTATGGCCAGAACTCTGCCTCCTGGATGCAAAAGAAAACTGTGTGCACAGTGGCTGGGGAACGTAGGCCAGTTTCCGAGCAGACCAAACACCCCAGCTGAAGCCAGGGAGTGGTGGGAGATGAAGAAAAGATGGTGAGACCAAGACTACTCTTGGTAGCTGGGACTAGGTGGAACCATAGCTTGTCAGGAGCCAATGGCCACCTGGAGCACCGTGCCCTCTTTGTAGTGGAAGATGAACAGAAATAGAAGCAGGCAAACAGTGCCATGGGGCCTATGTGGCCTAGGCCAAAGGTAGCGTGATTGTTTTGTGATGGGGGCATGGGCAGGAAAGTAACAGGGAAAGATATAACTGTCTCCCAGGGCTGTGCATTCCAGGGTGTGCAGTATGAATCAAACAGTCTGTGTGTTTGACTCTCTAGCCTATGGAGGAAAAAGGAAGTAAGGAGGAGAAAGGGAGAAGGGAAGAGCAATAAATGAAAGCAAACAGAAAATTTACTAAACACAATGTTAAGGATTTGATTGGAGCTGCGCCTCTCCCACTGTCATGGGCATCTCAGCCTCCAGCAACTCAGAATGTGACTGTGGAAACAGGAGGCTGCAGATGTGATCATAGTCCCATGTCCCTTAACCATGGGCCCGGTTTTGAAAAATGACTCATTCGACAGCTCCATCATGCAAACATCATAGGAATTATTTACACAAACCTAGAGGTGTGGAAATTACAGTGAATGTTTAAACTTTAAAAGTGTCCTGCAGTAAAAGACACATTGCCATTGATCCTCTTCGAAGGACTCCCCTCAGTTTGTGCACACTGATCCCAGTGTTCTTGCCACTTTCTGAAGCAGTTCTGGGGTCCTCTTTCATGGATGTCTTTAGTTGTGTCATCATGGCTGCTTCGATGTCTTGAATTGGTGCAAAATGTTTACTTTTCATGGTCATTTTGATTTTGGGGAAAAGCCTGAAGTTGCATGGTACCAGATCCAGTGGATAAAGCGGATGAGAATGCAGCATAAGGTTTGTATGAGCTGCCTTTCTGTTGGATGGTCTCTGGCATTAGCATTCACAGACTTTTGATCACAGCATGGCTCCACTTTATCTCATATGTTGTCATAGCTGACCAAAAGGTCGTTTTGCAGCACACAGCTGTTATGATAGGGTTGTACTCCTGCAACATCCTGATGATATTTTAATCCTCTAATCCAATACAGGGCTCCTACTTCTTAGGTCCTTATGCAAAGGAGAAATCTGGAAACGCACACACACACACCACCATGTGGATAGCAGTGAAGCCACTTTTAAACCACAGAATGACAAGGATTAGCAAACCCCAGAGCCTGGGAGGGGCAGGCTCAGCCATGGTTTCAGGCTGAACACACTGCAGCATGGTGCAACAGTAATAAGAAATCAGCAATGCTGATCCTGGCTTTATTTAAACTTTTGATGTTCAATTGGATTTTTGGCATTAATTATATTTCCTAAATCATGGTATAAGTGAATATTGAGGTGATTGGCACCCCTTAAAACTTTACACCTAGTTGAACCCTGACTTGCCCTTCCCCCTAATTTGCCCTATCTCAAAACAATATTTGAGGCTAGGACCTGGATTTCCACTCCCTGACACCATGTGGTTCCCACATTCGTCACTTTGCTAGTGGCCCCCAAAATGAGGGAAGTGTGCTTGGCAGGTATTTCTGCTTGGCTTTCATGTTGTCTCATACACAGGACTAACATGAAGCATAATTTCTTAATTCTAAAGCAATTCCTTTGCTGCCTTCCATGTTCATTATGATATTCTCCCATTAATTCTGGGTCAAAACACGAGTTCTGTTTTTGACATTCTTCTCTCTCATCACACATATTCAGCTATTAAGTCGGGCTAGGTCTTTCCCTAGCTCCTGAGGAGAAAAATGGCTTTGTTGTCTTTTTTTGTAAAATGAACATATTGCAATGTAAAATGTTTAGCAGGTGTAAGGAGGAGGCTAAAATGCTATCAGTAATCTCACCCTCAGGCGCCCCTGTCAGTATTGCTCTGGGTATTTTCCCAGATACTTGGCAATTCTTCTTGAAAAGGTGTTTTCACAAAATGGGCCTATGCCACACATGCTATTGGTATTCTTTTCTTGTAACCCTGTTAATTATTTGTCATCTTGTTAATCATGGATGTTGCTTCATGTCACTGGATGTCCCCTGAAGCTGGCCTTGCTGCAGGCTTTGCTGATGGGGAGTGCCGAGGCCTGTGCAGGTCCACTGGGACTATTTCAGGGACCTGTGTCCACAGCTTCAGTCAGATTTGGTGCAAGGTATGACTCAGGAGGGTGTGATTTATACAAAAGAATGCAAAACTTCGCTACAGTATATGTTGGCAGAAACGTGGAGAATTTATATGGGAATACATTTTCTGGCTGTTACACGAAGGTAGTTGGAAGAGAATAATGAATTAGGCTGAATTTATTGATATTAACTCACAGAGTCTGGATTTAATGTAGTAGCTTGCTCAGTGAGTAAGCTGTAAGTCTGCTTTGTTGATTGAAACTTGGACTTGGCGGTGGTCCACATTCAGTGAGGTAGAACTTCCTGACAGAACACTGAGGGAGAAGTTACAGTGTCTAAGGAGGTAGACCACTGCACTTGGTTAGTCACACAGCACTTGGCATTACCCTCCACCATAATGCTGGAGAAGAGCCCCGATCACCTCCACAGAGTCTCTGAGAAATGAGCGTGGGAGGACTCAGACATCCACGAATGTGACTGGTGATTGGGGCTGTTTTCTGGCGTGGGGGTGATGGAGGGAGGCCAGGGCATGCCTTCCTATGGATCCCGGCTGTGGATCTCCCCACCAGTCTGTGAGGCCTGGCCCTGCCGGGGACCCTGATCTGTCAACCTTAATAACCACAGTGGAAGAAGGAGCCCATTCATTGGTTCTCGGAAATCCCCGACTCACGCGCAAGTGCAAAACACCTCAAGGTGTCTGCAAGTAAACCTGGGCTGTGGACAGACCCTCTCTGCTCACCCACCGGGCAGTGTCTCTCTGTACAAGTGTACCAGAGTGCATCCTGGGAAAGGACATGTGCAGTTTACACGGGAAATGGCCCAGCAGGAGCTGTCACTCATGCCCAGGACAGTCCTCTGCGAGGGGCTTGGACTGGACCAGAAGTAAAAGACC